AAAGTTTAACTGCCAGTAATGACCGGAACCCTAAGCTTTGTCAATATTTTAATCTATTCTAGAAACAGGTGAGAAGTCGGCAGGATCTCTTTAAAGAAGACAGTTCCCTTTTCTGTCAGAAAAAAGGAGGCAGGTCTGCCTCCTTTGTCACACAACTGAAATCAGCAAGAGCAACACTAACTTTAATATTCCAAAAGTTAAAAGTAAAAAGCTAGTTTACTCAGGAGGCTCCTCAAGTTTAAAAAGCAACTTCAGACTAAAAGGGAGTGTTTATCTCCTTAACTGCTCAACAGTTCAACATGTTAGCCCAAATAGAATCAACTCTAAGCTTCTCCATTTATTCCCACAGACATTAACTAAACTGGGCTTCACTTAGTGATGGCTGCAGTCACCAGATGTACATTAAAGTTATGTCTTGCCAGCTAGCACAATTCATTAGATTTCCAAAAGCCTGACTCAAACTGAAGCTTGGCATTAAAACACAAAGAGCCCATATTAGACAGAAGTTTACCAAGCCCCGTATCCCATCTCCTAAAGGGGTAGGCAGCAGATAGTTCAGGAAAATTAAGGCCTAGGAAAACAGGGTGACTACTTTTTTTGATCAATAGACACATCAACACTTGATGGATTAGACCCTGTTCTTTAGGAAGTTTTGGTGGATTGTCCTGTTGTGAATTTGGCTGTTTTCGTATCTATACTTTTGGCATACACATCATCCTATGACACTTTAATCACGTACTGTACATAAAATGTGTTTTAAGGCCTCTCCACATGTCTAGTTTTCTTCGTTGACTCCTCCTGCACTTTCCTAATTCTCCTATGTCTTGGCTGAAATGAACTGATCAAAACTGCAGATGAAGGTGCACCATGTTTACATGTTTAAAGGTATCTTTTCTGAACATTCTGTTCATCGTATTAAGTACCACTGAGGACAGTGTGAATGTATTCTTAAGAGACATCCACACCATCTCCTAAACTGGTTTTTGACTGGTAAGACTAAATTCAGCACCCAGGATGGCACATTTTAATTTATTCTGCCATTTTATAATAAGCTAATAAATGCCTTCACAATTTTTTTCCTGACTGCAGACTTCAACCACTGATTACTCGGTCACTTTTCCAGATTTCTTCTGAAAAATTAAGACTTGGACACAGAACTCACTCTCTTAGTGACCTATGTCCATCACATAACAAAAAAAGTCCCTTTAGTTTTAGCTCTTCTTTCTTAACAATTTGTAAGTTATAAATTCATAACAGGACCTTCCTTTTTTTCTGACAGCCCAATTTCTTTGTAAATATTTGATAAGAAACTCTGTCAAAAATCTTTGAAAGTTCAAGTTCAGGTACAGTATTTTCACTTAGATCACCTTTATCCAGGCAATCAACATATTCTTTGAAATTTATATTGTATGACAAAAAGTTTAACTGCCAGTAATGACCGGAACCCTAGGCTTTGTCAATATAGTCTAAGTTATCACTGTTTGCTATCTTATGCATTACTAATTTCAGTACCACAGACATAAAAGAAGCTTGGTTGTGTATGCACGTATGCCTGTAGGAATACATCATCAAGCACTTCACAACTTTAAGTGATGAAAGTATTCTAATATCTAAGAAATATCTTCATCCATTGCCTTACCTGACTTTTTTGTAGGTTAGCTTCTTCTAGGAGCTGTATGCAATCTTGCACTTTTGCAACAGCATCGTACTTCTCCCTTTCGAGATTAGCATACTTTGTCTGAAGCTCTCTGATTTGTTTCTCCAGGGCTGTTCTTTCTGTTCTCAGCTGTTCAGCATCTTGGACAGTAACACGTAATCTACAAGACAGTAATAATTTTACTGATTTAACAATAAGATGCTTAATTAAGACACTAATTCTTTCAAACTAAACTAATAGGAAGTGTTTATTCACAAATTGCCAAAACTGCATTCCTGGTTTTCTGCTTGTTTTTGCACAGAGTCTTTTAGTTTAATATTCATCAAGTCCTAGAAAGAAACAGAATTAAAGGAGTTAACTCTGATATCTAATCTCTGAAGATCCTTAGAAGAGTGTTGCTATCCTGGGATACATCACTGAAAATGTTCTATATTAAAACAGAACAGAACAGCCCCAGAAGGAATAAAGTTTTCCTCTGTGGAGGAAACGGAATAATTGGATGTGGGCAATGAAGTTGCAGCTATACCATTAGAACAAGAAAACCACTGGTAATTTTACAACAGCTCAGAAATTCTTATTGTTTAATTATGATTGTCAGTATTGGCAGGCACAAGAAAGGGCAAGAGAGTCTCAGAGGTATCCTCAAAAAAACCTCAGAAAATTCCGCAAGTGCTGCCGGTTCAATAAAGTGCACACGGTTCTAAATATCCACAGCAAGCACTTTGGCAACACTTGAGCTGCCTTTTCAAGCAGCCATGCTTTTTTACTTTCTAACATGTTTCTAGTAAAACATAGAAAGACAACCACTCTTATTTTTGTAGAGCCAAAGCACAATTTTTGTAGAACCAAAAACCTACAGAAACTAAACCAACTAATTCCTCAAGACATTCTAAAATAAACTTAAGAGCCTCCACAATGCTTAGGCCAGTGAAATTCATCAAGCAGAGGTAGCCACACAAGTCTGTGCAACTCCTCGAGGCAGTAGGTGCCCACATAGTCACAAGGTTCACTAGTAGTTATTTGGTTCCTAGAGTTATTGAAGAGTTTGCTAATCACGCTCACAAGGCTGTGACCAAGAAAGGAAAATGAACAGTCACACAATTATTTCATTAAGAAATTTATTAATTCTTCTTAGCTATGAGGTTATTTGACTAATGTTAATAACTGTTCGTGATACTCGAATCAAAATCACTGTCCTCAGCTAAGTGTGATATCCTTGGAAAGTGAAGGGGGAAAGAAACCCCCCACACAAAAGAACCTCACTGAGTCTTAGATCTTGCAGTAGATAGTGCTGGAATTAAAGTTCTACTCCTTAGCAGGAGTATAAAGATTGCTGAACTAACACCTGAAACCAAATATTACTTAATGTGGAAAGAAAAATCTGTATTCACCTCAAAACCAGCTCGTGTACATGAACGCTTTCAAATTTCAGTGTGAATGTTTTTCTTTAGAACTCCACCTAAAGCTAACGAGAGTCGAGTAACTAGAATGTCTGCACTAGAACGAAAAATGTACATCCCTCTTTTTTTCCTCCATTACAGTCAAAAAAAATCGAGTGTTCTGTTTATCATTTTAAATACACTGATATCATAAGCTTTTCTGAAAGGTTGCAGAATAGAACAAATAAGATAGAGAGCAGCCAACCATAAGAAAACAGAACTGCTCAGGAATGCAAAACCCAGAGGCTGAAAAAAATGTAATATTTTATGTCACTTGCATGTATCCCGTTATTAACACCCAGTGAGCTGTCTTTACCTTGTTTCTAATTGTTTTATACTAGACTGCATTTGCTGCAAGCGTTTGTCAGATGCTGCTTCTCTTTGCTGGGCAGATATCATGTCTTCTTCCTAGAAAGAATATACGTATTATCCAGACATCATCTGAGCTTCCCTAAACAAGATAAACTAACAAGATAAAACAAGTTAGAGAACAACTTGCAATTATTTTAAAGTCAGCATTCAGAGAACTGGCTAACCATTCAATCGCAAGAGAAAACTACTCCTTTCCCTAGAATACCTTTCTCTCCAATTGGCCTTGGAGCTTCTCTGTCAATCTGGTCATTTCATCAACCTTAGCATTTGCTGTCCGCCCATCTATTTTGGCTTGCCTGTATAAAGAACACCATGTATGAATTACATTTCCATTATTATAGGGGAAAAAAAATTACTCCATTAGAACTTTTTTGAAATAGCTGTGAAAGGCAGTCAGATTTCCTAACACCATTCCTACAGGGCAGAAAAGGTTTCCCCCTTCTTCTTCTTCCTATGTGGCAGTGAGAGAGGAATACCAAATTCATTAAACCGGCATGGGAAAAGGTGGCAACACCGATGGTGTGACTCCTGACAGGTTCAAACACAGCTTCACTGCTGGGCTATCGCTGTAAGGTCTGTCACCCACAGTAACATGTTTTCATGTTTCCTTTCAAGCTGTCATCTTCTCAGAAGCCTCTTCGTAACTGTTTAATCTGGCTGGCCGTGGTCACGAGCGACCTTTGTCATTGGTACTCTCCCCATAGTGTTCTCAGTTTTGGGCAAAGAGGGTCTCAGAGGAATTTTGCATCTCTAATTATGGGCACTGATTACACTCATGTTCTTGCAACCTTAAAAAGAGTACTACGTTGTACTCACAAAGCTAAATACAGCAGCTCTATGTAAAAGATCAGTGGCTGATAATGAATCCATTTCCTTTTTATTATCAGTCCACAAATCCACTGTTCACTGAAATCAAATTTTAGCTTGACCTCAACCATCACTAATTAAACGAGTTAACAGGTACAATAAACTGGCATTGAACACACTATAGCTGTAAATACATATAATCATGAAATTGAGTAGCAGGTATTTTTCTCATTTTCCTTGATATACTTCAGGAATGTAACTAACGCTTCTCTTATCTCGTAACTTCCCAAAAGCCGATGGTTTAGAGCTCTTTATTGAGAAACAGTGAATGGAAATTTTATTAAAAACATGAAAACTTGAAATACTTTGAACATTCAAATTTCAGAACAGTAATGAGTAATTATGTAACTGGATTTTGAGCAAATTGTATTCTAATTAAGACGTATCTTCAGAGTCAATTTTGCTGTGATACTGACACTTTGTTCCTTTTAAAATCAAAGGTCAAATGCTGAATATTTCAGGAAACAGCTGAACTAAACAACACTAACTGGAAATATGCTACCCTCACACCAGTGATGCACGCGTTTGTAACAAACTGTAGAGGCATTCACTGAAACCATTGTGACTATCACTATCAAGTCAGTTGGCAGTACAAACAGGGCCCATGACACAGCAGCAGGTTACAAAAAGCTACAGAAAAGATATTTAATAAATTTTTTTATCGCCTGGTTTATACCTCAGTTGTTTTCGTAGCTGCTCTAGTTCCACAGTCTGTTCTGTTACAGTTTTCAGAAACTGTTGATTACTCTGCAAAATAAGGAGATATTTGCAACATGTTCCTTATTGTACTAAAATTGTTACCTATTCAAAATTGTTATAGGGCATTTCTACAGCATATAACACCAAAAAAATAGACAATAAGGTCTATTAAACACTGTGGCTGGTCTCCAAGTGCCAAGGTTTAGGTAGAGCATTTCAGAAAGGCAAATGCAGAGTGATGTTACCTAATCCTCCCTTTCTTTCCCCATATTTTGGTAGTGCAAGAACTTCCACAGATGAGAATTGTAATAGCTCAGACCTACCATCTGCATTCCCATCTAGTTTAGGTGTCTTGAATACCTTGTCACAATGAGTACCACAGCAGACCACATACTGCTGGAAAGAATTCCTTTGGTTTAGAGACAAACAACGAGGTATTGCTCCTCCTTCACTTTTTCTCTGCCAGCCATACTGCTGGAGGTGTCATTCTCCTTCAACTGACTTCTCATTTGAGAATCATTTCATATTTTTGTTACCCTACTAGCCTTTTCTAGATCTTAGATATACATAATGTCTTACACTGAGATATTAGAGATGACCACAACTGCAGGTGGCATTCAAGATGCTACTGTATGGTGGACTTGAAGCACAACATACTTCTTTCCCCCCTTTACGAATAACTGCTAACAATCTTCTTGCTTTTTTGACTGTTGCTAAGAATTGTTTTCAGACACTTCCTACTTCTAAAATACCTATTCTGAGTAGTAACAGGTCATTTCAAGACCATCACAGTACCCAAAGTGAAAGCTCCCTCTTCCCCACATGCATTATTTTGCTTTTATTAGTATCACTGAAATGTCAGATAAAATTCACTCAGATAGTAAACATCATGAAATCTTTCTGCAAATTTCTGCTGTCTGCTTCAGTTTTTCACTACCCTAAATAGTTTAACATCAGTAGTGAACACCGTTGCCTCAATACTGAATCTCATTTCCAGAACATTTATAAATACGCTGAACTACTCTAACATGAGCACATCTAGGAAACACAGGGGTTTTGCCACAACAATAAAAAACCTGACTAATTACTCTGTCTCTTCACCTCCTACTTTTCAGTTTGTTAGTTTAAGAAAGGGCATGCTTCTTTATCCCATGACATCTTTATGGTTTTGGTAATAAAACCTTGCCAAATGTTTTTTGGATAACGCAAACAAATGCATTACCTTTATGATAACCTCAACTGTTTCATCTCCTTCAGAAAGTTCATGTATTTCACTCTCTCCTCTCCACATCATCTCTTTCCAATTTTATGATTTTAAGCATTCAGTGATTCTATTTTTTTGAGGTACTTACTACTGATTTGCTTGTAACAGCCAATCAAAGCAGAAGCAGCACTAGATGATGAGAGCACAGAAAAATCCCTGAACAGGTCAATGACAGACACTGAAGCCAGCAGTGCCAAACTAGGAAACGATAAACATGTGGTAGAGCTAGCCTACATAAGAGGTCAGCATTCAAATAATTTTTTCCTTTGTTAAGATGGTTTTCAATGTGTGACTGAAGTACACTCACCATGTACTAAAATTCTGAGTGTAAGCTTAACACTGATTCCTTGAAGAAGGAACTAACCTTTCAACCACCCTGACCTGGTCTTTGCAGTTCAGGAACAAAGCTATGACTACTTGATTTTTCACTGGTCCCTAGAGAAGTTTGCAAGTCTGAGTGGCACAAGTTCTTTTCCAACCAGGAATGTATGAAGGACTTTTTGCTTTTCTTTTATACTTTGAGGCTCTAGTAGAAAAAAGCATAATTTACTAGGTCACCGTTCAGAAGGTTTTACTTACCAACTCTATTTTCTCATTGGCTATATGCAGCTGCCGAGTCAACTGTTGAAAGCCAGTCAGTTGATCCTAAAAAGAAAATTCAGAGCTTCTTATAATCATTATGGTCGTAAAGAGCATATAATTAGAGTTTCATAGTCAACTGGAAACATTTTAAAAAAATTCATACGTTGCAGGAAATTCAATATGTCTTTGTAGATTTTAATGAGATTGCTTTTAGCTGTTGACCTAGTAATCTGGCAAATTAGATTTACTACTGAAAAACATACCTGAATTTCACTCGGTTACAAACTGCCTCCTTCCAAAACTCATACACACTTACTATCAAAATATGAACGCATACATCATCGGTAGCGACTTTAAAGAGCCAGAGAGACTACGAAGCTACTATAATGATTTTTGCTAAGCACAGTAGCAGATGTATACCCCTTAATTAAAAAAATGCCTGTACGGACACATGTCATTTCCTGTTTGGCACAGATGATGTCTTGTGTCCATACAAAAAATTGTTCAAGTCAATTCTTGAGTCCCCGAATGTGAACACTGTCTTCCTAGGAAAACTAGCATAACACAGAAAAGTCACCTGCAGCATGCCACATGTCTTCAGAGCAGAGGGGACTCAAGTCCCTTAGGTGGAACATCTACTAGTTTTGCTGTGTTTAACATCCTCAAGGCCAAGTATATGCCAGAAACCTATTCCAACAACTCCCTCGTTGACGATTCCCTGCCCTTACAATGATATCCTCTTTCATCTTTGCTTTCTGTCAATTCTAATTCTAGTTTGTCTTAGCTATTTCTATTTACCTCTGATAGTTATTTTCTGCTCCTCCATTAAAAGCAAAACCTAAAAGTTTATTTATCTGAACAGTCTTTTTCTGTGGGAGACCAGTAGCATTTAAGAATAAAAGGCAGCTCAACCTCATTCTTGTTACAATAGCATTAAAATCCACCAAGAATTTAGTTACCAATGAAAAGTGGAATCTGACAGCCCTAAACCCTCCAACAGCTGACAATGGCTCTGCATGCTCTACTATGTGTGTGTTACCAGTAACTGACAATGCAACACAAGAAATCATCTAATAGAAGGAACAGGAGCAAAAAGTTGGAACTACATGTAGATAAGAAAGTCCCCATAACTACTATTTAAAATAATAATGCAACTTGACAGAGCACAATAGCTGTACAGATATTTTCCCATTTCTCATTGAAGAGCATATTGCTGAGGTGGACTTACTACCACAAAACAACAAAAATCAGTGAAAAAAAAATATCCTGTTACTTAGGTGAGCTGTAGCTGTGCCCACAAGTCTAGCGTACTTGAAAATGGGAAGTGAATGTTAAAAATTTGTAGCATCTCTTTACAGACCTAGAAATACCTGTAGTGAGGTACAAAGAGGCACGAAATTTCTATTAGTTCTTCACACACTGAGCATCATCAGATAGCTCATCAGAGCAAAACAGCTTCTTTTCTGAACTAAGATTTCCTGAAAGGCCTTCCCCAAAAACAGCAGAAGAGAAACAGGCTGCTAAACACAAGCTAGCATTAGAAGAAAATTGCTGAACTTAATTTTTTTTATCTGTTTATACATGCTTTATTGAATGACAACAGGAAATGGAGACTGCTTTTCCCACTATCCCACTGTGATCTTACAGACAAAATTCAGGATTCAAACACAGGAGAAACATGAAAGACTTCCACCTTAGAATTCAAAAGTCTCCAGCAGCTTTCATAGACGTTGAACTCTACTGAAGATTTCCAACCATGCAATTCAAACATGATTATTTGTATGCACATGCATATTTTGGGTACATATACATATATATGCACTAAGACTCAGACTCACTGCATTCCCCAAGTTCCTGCCCATATATTTGAAACAAGGAACTTTTCCAATTGTAGCGGTGTATTTACCTGACGAATCAGTGACCACATCTGACCACTCAACTTCAGGTGACTATTACAGAAAATAATTAACAGTACTGGTAGAACACTCCCCCCCACCTTCAGTTTGACCACACACAGACCCAGAATCTCTATGGTACAGAAAGACATTCCAAAATTAACAAAAAAAAACAAAACAAAAAAAAAAAAAAAAAAAAAAAAAAAAAAAAAAATTTTTTTTTTTTTCCCTTTTCCTTCTGAGGGGAGTACTCGAAGTCAGGCTTTTCACCAGAAAGTGAATCGGTGACCTGTGCCCGAGGAGGCGGCTCCGTTCGGACGGCG